ATCAAAAAATATTTTTCCCAAATTAAAATATCCAAAGCAATTAATTCAAACATTTACCTTACCCAACTTTATTTTAAAAATTACCTAAACCAAATATCTTTTTTATTTTTAACCAGCTGAAGGATTAAATTAGTTTATTGTATACGAAACATTAGCATTTAATTACGTCGAGGGAACGTTTGTTTACAATTTAAAGGCGCATCCGATGATGCGCGTTAAAAGCCTGCGGTTTTAAAGCTGTGCTAGGTTTTCAAAAAGCGAATAAAGGTTTTCAAAAAGCGAATAAAGGATTAATTAATGATAACTAGGGCTCGGATTTATATCAGGGTTTGCTTTATTTACAGGGCATTTGCCCTATTTTAGACATTTCGCCCTATTTTCTTCCTTTTTCTACTTTTGCCATATTTTGCCCTATTTTTACCATTTATGAATATTTTTATTTTTTAAACATTTTATAAGTAAAATGCGAAAAAACGCAGTAATTTGACTTCTTTGTCTTCTAAATTTTTCAAAATTTTCTCCTGCGGCGCTTAAAATTGAAGAAATATAGCTTATTGGGTTTCTAAAATTTAAAAATTTTCGCCTACAGCGCTAAAAGTCAAAATTTTGAGGCCGAAGGCCCCAAAATTCGCGCAGAATTGCCTCTTGCGGCCGTCCCTGATCATGGTTAGTTTAATTTAGATAAAAATGGTGAAAAAATGCATAATAAATGCATTATTATAAATGCATAAATGCATTAATCCCGGGTTTTTAGCGACAAGCGTGATTACCGGGATTTACGGGATTAATCCAGCGGGATCCCGTCCCATTTAAAATTTTTAAACTCAATCCCGTTCCGGGATCCCGGGAATGCGATTTTGCCGACCTCTAATTAGAACTCAATGGTCAGACACTGGTCAGTCAAGGCTTGTTCATTACCAAGGTCGTTTTTGTGCCCTATTTCTATATAAATCTGAGCCCCAATGATAGCATTTATTTTTTAAATTTAATTATTTATTATTTATCGTTTAAATAAGCCGGAATATGCTGAAAGTTCTATTATGTCAATTTTTAAAAACTCGAAATTTCGAATGAAATAAACATGAAGATCGAAATTTCGAAACAACTCCTTATTAGAGACATTAACATACCTATATAATAAATTCCACTCTATTTTATCTTTCTTGTCTAGCTCCACTATTTTTGGAAAATTTTATCTCTATCCCCATTAAGAAATTTTATATCGATAGTAAAATCAAATGATTTGTTAACAAGCATGCCTTATTACTCCTCATTAGCTCTCAATTTAAATTAGATTAATAGGCTTAAATGTTAATTCAAAATTTTTAATTAAAAATTAAAAACCTATATACATAAAAACAATTTATGTAGAAGGATCAACAGAAGGATCAATCCTAGCAGAAGAGGGCCACTTTATTTATGTAACTACATATTTAAAATTTTAAAAGAAATATTTTGTAAGGGGTACGGGACAAAAAATAAATGCCATTACGAAATACTAGTATGATTACTAGCAAAATTGAAATTTATAAACACTGTTTATAACTCGCGATTTCTAGAGCTACTAAAATTAAAATTATTGAACAAAACTTCAAAATTAATTTTTCAAATAGAACATTTTAATGCTACAAATTTTCCGGCTAAAAAGGGAAAAAAGTTTATCCAATTTTCATGAGCCTATCACCTTTCGAGTTTTCTTCTCAAATAATTTGCTGAGATAAATCGAATAAATCGTCTAGTAGTTTAAACCTCTGACTAAATATACTAAATCCACAAAATCAAATAAAACAAAAAGTTAAGATGAAAATAATTTTTATTCTCATTATTTTATTTATTAATGCAATGTTTTGGAGTTTTATTTCTATGGGTGGTTCTTCTCGATATAAAGGAGAAGGGTCGTCATCTAAAAGGCAATACAATCAAGAATATGAAAATAAAATTAAAAATAATTTGAATGCTCTAAAAAAGAAGAATAAATGTACTGGTAAAAAGGATAAAGTAATTTATCCTAGCCAAATAACACAGGAAAAGTTGATTAAACTTTATCTGGATAATAATGAAAAATTTAGAGAAGCCTTAGAAATGGCAAAAAATTCAAATGGTGAACGATTGCTTAATCGCTTCGAAAATGATAAATATAAGGTAAATATGAATAAAATGTTCTGGATCCGTTCAGTGTAGTTAATCTTATGAAAAAAAAAGTTTATAAGTAAAAGGCAAATTTCAAAGAAATTTTAGTAGAATTTATGAGTTATTCTGTTGGATTTACTCTAATAAAAAAATGAATTTTTATTCAACTATATTTTAGAAAGAATATATTCATGGAATAATTGCATTATATGAATATGGGGAAGTGTCTATGAATAACTTTTTAAAATATTTAAATATTCAACACCGTTTTTTCGAGTTTGTTGAGTTGTTCTTAGTTGTTTGTCGAGATTGCCGAGTCTGCTGATGAATTACCTTCTATCTCAAAGAATGATTTATGCTTCTCGTACCAGGAGTCGAATGTTTTGCCCTTGTCCAAATCGAATCCGAATTCTTGAATAACGGAATTTAATTTGCAATACAATTCAGCTGACTTTTCTTCTTCAGAATCTTCTTTTCCCTTTGTTTTGACGAATTCTTTCATTATCTGTTTGAATTCCTCCCGTTAACAGTTTGTAAAATTTTGACTTAATTTTAGAATTTCGTTGAGAATTTTTCTAGAATTTGCGTCCATTTGGAACAAGAATATACAATTAGAATAGAATAATATCCGAATAAGAATGATACCTTTTGAATCAGGTTCGAATAACGAGACCGCGCCAATTGTTATGTACGTGACTTGTATGTCTACTTACTAACATAGAATGACAAGATAAGACAGTAACTAACAAACTGTGCTTTATCTATGTACAATACTAAATATATACAATCAGTTGCGCACAATAGGAATATGGCTAAGAGCCGAATATGTGGAGACAGAATAGAATAACACTGCGACAATAAGACTAAGACAAGGACTGAATAATAGGAAGGCTTTTATACTATGCCAATATATAACAGTTGGTAGCCGTAGAATGGTAAATTTAAAAGAAGAAAGAAAATTATTTGAGTAAAAAAATAAAACTTAAATAATTTTAGTCTTCTATAATAAAAAAAATATTTTCTTTTAAATTTTAGAAAGAATATATTCGTGGAATAATTGCATTATATGAATATGGGGAAGTGTCTATGAATAACTTTTTAAAATATTTGAAAATTCAACCCCGTTTTGTCGAGTTTGTTTTGGCTGCGCATGGAATTTGTGTTTACAACAAACATAAAAATAAATCGTAAACATTTTTATTTTCAAAACACGGTCATTTCTAACATTTGAAATAATTCTGCATCCTTGTCAGTGAAAATATAAGTGAATCTCTTCAAGAATAAATGGTTTAAAATAGCACTTTATAGATTATATTTTTATAGCAAAAATGTCATAAAAGAGGATCTTGATAAGCTTTTGGGGCAAATAGCGAATAATAAAAATACAATTAATGTGACAAAAGAAACTATTGAAGATCTGGAATTGCTTTATACTACAAAAAAGACCAAAAAATTTGAAAGAACAAATAATGAAGAATATTCAGTCAAGGAAAATGATTCTGATGAGGTTGATGAATATGCACATCAATTCCAGCCACCTTCCCAAACAAATAATTTGTTTCAGACGCCAGAAGATCAAGATGATGATTATTGGGAGAAATGGAATGAATCGACTATGTAAATATTAATTGTGAGAGAAAGCAAAATCCAAACTGTTAAAAATATAAAACGATTATTTAGTGGTTTTATAAATTATTTAAAGATTTAACAAAAAATATTTCTCTAGCTTTATTATTTAGATTATCATAAATCATATTTCATTCATCAGTGACTAAAAAATTTTCTTGATAAAATTTTGATTATAAAATATTTTTCCTAAAATAAATATCCAAAGCAATTCAAACATTTACCTTAGCCAACTTTATTTTAAAAATTCCCTAAATATCTTTTTATCTTTAACATCCACTCAATTATTTTTAAATATAAAATATTTCTTATTTAAATTTTTCAATCTGAAATTATTATAGTTAATTTATAAACATAATTTCTAAATAATTTATATGTAATAATAATATAAGTAATATATATACTAAATTCAAAAGGCAGCTAATTTGTATTTTATAAGTTTCACAAAATTATTATAGACGACGACGGATTAATTCAACATTTAAGCTGCAAACATAGCATGGAATTAGTAAAAAGCAGAGCAACCACTAAAAATAGACAGACAATATTTAATTGCGACTTAGTTTGTCCGTATTCTTGATGGATTTCAAGAGAATAACATGATTTATAAAAAAATTAATTTAATATAATTTGAATTCATATGAAACCATTATACTTAATGAGTTAAATAAATTAAATAATTTAATTATTTTTGTCTTTAATTATGCATTATTTAAGCTGCTCATCATCTTTAGGTATGTGTTTCTAAAAAATGGTTCTTAAATATTAAGAGCTCAATGTGTTTAAATGCCCATCTAACTCATTATTAAAAGGAAAAGATATTAAAAAACATCCTTTATTCCATATTATACAATATTGTTTTGATTTTGCAAATTTAATTAAAAATTTTTTTACTCAAATGTCTGTCCTAAAATAGCAAAATTGAAATTTATAAACACTGTTTATAACTCGCGATTTCTAGAGCTACTAAAATTAAAATTATTGTATAAAACTTCAAAATAAATTTTTTTAAATAAAACATTTTAATAGCTACAAATTTTCCGGCAAAAGGGAAAAAAGTTTATCCAATTTTCATTTCTTCTCTAATAATTTGCTGAGATAAATCGAATAAATCAACTAGTAGTTTCAACCTCAGACTAAATATACTAAATCCATAAAATCTAATAAAACAAAAATTTAGGATGAAAATAATTTTTATTTTCATTATTTTATTCATTAATGCATTGTTTTGGAGTTTAATTACTATGGGTGGTTCTTCTCGACATAAAGGAGAAGGATCGTCATCTAGAATAGAAATTACTCAAAAATATAATAATAAAATTAAAAATAACTTGGAGTATCTAAAAAAGAAGAATGAATGTACTGGTAGAAAGGATAAAGTAATTTATCCAAATGATAAAACACAGAAAGATTTGATTGAAGATTATGTGAAGAATAAGAAAAAATTCGGAGATGCTTTAGAAATGGCAAAAAATCGAAATGGAAAACAATGGTTTGATCGTTTCGAAAATGAGGAATATAAGGTAATTGGGGAATACAAACGTTTCTAAACTTTATTTTAGAAAGAATATATTCGTGGAATAATTGCATTATATGAATATGGGGAAGTGTCTATGAATAATTTTAAAAAATATTTATATATTCAACACCGTTTTGTCCAGTTTGTTTTGGCTGCACACGGAATTTGTATTTACAACAATCATAAAAATACATCGTAAACATTCTATCTTAAAAATCACTGTCATTTCTAACATTCTAAATAATTTTAATTCGTTGCAAACGTTTTGTTAAATTATTAACAAAAAAACCAATTCTTAAAATTCCTAATTTCTGTAAACAAAATAATCCTCACAAATGAAAATACTACATATAAGTAAACTTTACAAGAATCATATTGTTCAAAATAAAATTATAAATTATATTTTTATAGCAAAAATGTTGCAAAAAAGGAGGATCTTGCTAAGCTTTTAGAGAAAATAGAGAATAATAAATACACAATTAATGTGACTAATGAAACTATTAAAGATCTGGAATTATTTTATAGTACTAAAAAGTCAAAAATTTTTGAAGAAATAGATAAGGAAGAATATTCTGTCAAAGAAAATGATTCTGATGATGTCGATGGATATCCACATCAATTCCAACCACCTTCCCAAACAAATAATTTGTTTCAGACGCCCGAAAATCAGGATGATTATTATTGGGAGAAATGGAATGAATCGACTATGTAAATATTAATTGTGAGAGAACAAAATTGAAGCTTGTTAAAAATAAACTATTAAAGATCTGGCATTTTTATAAATTATTTAAAGATTTAACAAAAAATATTCCTCTAGCTTTATTATTTAAATTATTAGAAATCATATTTCATCCATTAGTGACTAAAAAATTTTCTTGATAAAATTTTGCTTATAAAATATTTTTCCCAAGTTAAATTCTGTTTTATTATACTAATATTCTTATACTCAAACGACAATCCTCAAATCTCGGTCCGCAATCCTCAAATGTCCGGTGTACGGAATTTTGTTCACCAATAGGAATTTTGGTCACCAAACGGAAAAAAATAATCTTATCTAAAACTGATATTAAAGTGATAAAAAATGATTTTTCAACCCCCAGTTGATCAATTTCAATGTTGATCACTCTGCCAGTTAATCAATCATCCGGAAGAGTGATCGAGAGTGATCAACTGAGGGAGTGATCAGCCATGAGAGTGATCAACATTGAAATTGATCAACTGGGGGTTGAAAAATCATTTTTTACCACTTTGATATCAGTTTTAGATAAGCTTATTTTTTTCCGTTTGGTGACCAAAATTCCTATTGGTGAACAAAATTTCAGTGTCCAATATTCCGTTTTTTGACTTGGTGACCAAAATTCCGCTGGTGACCAAAATTCCAAAAAAGTTGGTGACCAAAGTTCCGAAAATCCTTGGTGACCAAAATTCCGGTGACCAAAATTCCGGCACCCCAAATGTCCATCCTCAAATGTCGGTCCGCAAAATTCCGTCCCCAAGTGTCGCACTACGGTAAGAAATATATAAAAAAAATCTTGCTTCTTAACCTTCCAAAGGTTTAAAAATTTTGTCTGTGGCGCTATAAATGGATAAATTTTTGCTTATTATTCCTCTAAAATTCACAAAAATTTCGAAACCAAGTCATGTGCCGATCTTAAAGGAGCCAGAAACTGCTTAAAGTTCTACCTAGCCAATTTTGAGAAACTCGAAATTTCGAAACAACTCAGCATTAGACATTTTAACACGTAAAAAACACTCAATTTTATCTTTCTTGTCTACCTCCACTATTTTCGGAAAATTTTATCTCTATCTTCATTAAGAATTTTTTATTTCATTAGTAAAATCGAAAATGATTGATTGACAATGATTTACGAGAAACGGCCCTCTTTCATATACATACATATACAGACATATTTATTTATAAAGCCATAATTTACTATATTTCAACAAGCCTTAACGTTAATAATTAAAAAAAACTTTTAAAATAAAAGTTTAAAGGCATAAAAGAAATTTTTTAAGATCATAAACGACAGTTTTATGCAACTGTTTAAGGGTAAAAAACATCTTGTAGGGGGTACAAGTCAAAAAATAAATGGCGTTACGAAATACGAGTGCGCGACTACTAGCAAAAATTTAAATTTATAAACACTGTTTATAATTCGCGATTTCTAGAGCTTAATACTAAATTATTCCAAAAAATCAAATAAAACAAAAATTTCAGATGAAAATAATTTTTATTTTCATTATTTTATTAATTAATGCATTGTTTTGGAGTTTTATTTCTATGGGTGGTTCTTCTCGACATAAAGGAGAAGGGTCGTCATCTAGAAAAAAATACATGCGAGAATATGACAATAACATTAAAAATAATTTGGATATTCTAAAAAAGAAGAATAAATGTACTGGTAGAAAGAATAAAGTAAATTATCCAAGTAATAAAACACAGGAAAAGTTGATTAAACTTTATAAGAAGAATAATGAGAAATTCAGAGATGCTTTAGAAATGACAAAAAATGCAAATATAAAAAAATTGCTTGATCGCCTCGAAAATGAGGAATATAAGGTAAATATGGAATAGAAAATAAGAAAAAATATTTTCTTTTAAATTTTAGAAAGAATATATTCGTGGAATAATTGCATTATATGAATATGGGGAAGTGTCTATGGATAATTTTAAAAAATGTTTAAACATCCACCACCGTTTTCTTAAGTTTGTTTTGGCTGCACATGGAATTCGCATTTACAACAAGCATAGAAATGCATCGTAAACTTACTCTTTTATTTTAAAGTCATTGCTAAAATTTTCGTTAAAAAATCAAACAGTGTAGGAGGTTGTATACAAATTTGGTAGAGGTCGTGTTTAGTTCACTTTTTTATTTTTCCATTTCTCTCAAAACTTCCGTCTATTTGCCGCACTCTGATTAGATTAATATTCCTAGATTTGGAAAATTTTCGCCTGACGTGCTTCCAATTGAAAAATCTGGCTTTATGACCTTCAAAATTCTTAAAATTTTTGACTGCGGCATTAAGAGAGTCATACAATATCACTCATTCATCATGGAGTGGCTCAAGAAACCTCGGCTCCTTATTGTGTGTCCATATTTCCCGGTATCCGATATTACTTAAATCAGTTGATATACTGAATTATTTACAGTAAAGATTTTTTAACAAAGTTCCAGTTTCGGTTCCGGCCTGGAACCAAAAAATAAGATCTGGTTCCGGATCCTGTCAAAATTTCAGTTCCGGTTCCTGTTCCGGCCAAATTTGCGGTTCCGACGGTACACTAGATAAAATGCTTGTAACCTAGGAAATATTATTGGACGTTGAACATGGTTTTTGCTCAGTAATTCCTTCGGGACTACATATATTATACCTTACATTATTAATAAATTTTATAGCAAAAATGTTGTAGAAGAGGATTTTGAGAAGCTTTCAGAGAAAATTGAAAATAATAAAAATACAATTAATGTAACAAAGGAAAGTATTAAAGATCTGGAATTATTTTATGCTACTAAAAATTCAGAAAATTTTGAAGAAATAAATAATGAAGAATATTCTGTTAAAGAAAATGATTCTGATGAGGCCGTTGAATATCCTCATCAATTCCAACCACCTTCCCAAACAAATAATTTGTTTCAGACGGCCGAAGATCAAGATGATTATTATTGGGAGAAATGGAGTCAATCGACTATGTAAATATTAATTGTGAAAGGAGAATAAATAATTTAACAAAAAAAATTTTCTAGCTTTATTATTTAAATTAGCATAAATCATATTTCATTCATCAGTAACCAAAAAATCTTGATAAAATTTTGATCATAAAATATTATTTCCAAAATAAAATGAAAAGTTTATCAGTGTAACCAAAATTTTATTACTCGAGTGCTAACCTTGCATTAGAATATAAAATGAAATTGTCTGAGACTAGCTTTAAGGCTTTAAAGACTTCAATGTTGCCTTAATTCCCTGATATGCACCAAATTAACTTTAGGTATAATTGAATATCGTTAACAACTCTGCATTAAATTATAAATATTTAAATAAAATATTTTCAATAATATGAATACTTTCTAGTATATTTCCCTTTCATACCTCATTTAAGGAATTGTTAATTTCAAAAAGTGGCGCCAAAAGTTTAGTTTTTTTTTATTTTATTCATTGAGGCGGAATGAAATGTTTAAAGGAAATGATGTTTTTGTGAGTTAAAAATAATACATACAGCATTTAAAATAATAAAAGGAATGCTTTGTTTTTTGGAGAATTTAGCCAAAATTTTTGAAAGGCAAATTATGCTAATTCAGGATATATCCAAATTCTAAATAGTTTTTTGTAATATTATATTTCTGTCGTATATTTAAAAGTTGACTTTTTCTTAATCTTTATTAAAAGATATATCCCTTGATATGCCTTCAACTCCTTAATATCCGTCCAAACCCCAAATATCCCACACTTTTGGAAGGCGGAAGCCTCAATCTTTTGTAAATAATCCTTTTAGGCCTTACTGAAAGCCGATAAAATTTAATACAAGATGCCGAAAATTTCTTTCGCTAGAAAAAATCTAAATATTTATTTATTTTTCACAATATCTCAGTTAATTTAATAAATACACTAATTTTCACAAAAATTATTTAACCAAAATTTTTTTATTTAATCAAATTTTAGAATTTCAAACTTGGATTAATCTTCATTTTTTTCTTCTAATTTTTGTTTTTATTTTTTAAATTATTTTAATTTACCGTATTTGCTCTAGTAATCCCCCAGGGGGATTATTGTTTCAACCCATCTCTAGGCTGGGGGATTAATAGAGCCTGGGGGATTATTAGAGTGGGGTAGAAAGAGGGGGATTATTGTTTCAACCCATCTCCAGGGTGGGGGATTAATAGAGCCTGGGGGATTAATAAAGGACAGGGGGATTAATAGAGCAAATACGGTAACCATTAAAACGCACATTAATTTTATTATTAATTTTAATTTTTTTACATTTTTAAAAAATATTCTTTCAAAAATAAATTCCTCTTTATTATAAATAAAATTTTCACTAAAATTAATCATTAGAAAAGTTATTTTAATCTATTTTGTTTAAACAAACAAACAATCCATCTGTCTCTTTTCACCCTCTTCCTTGATTAAAATTTATTAATACATAGCAATAGGTGGTTGGGTTTTAATAGACTTTTATTGCTTAAAATAATTTTAACCAAAACATTAAATTTATTAAACTTTAATGAAATTTTATAAGTTTTTAATAAGATTAGAAAATTTTTATATCATTAATCCGTAGCTATCTGATAAGATTATAAAAACCCACCAACCTAAAAATTTTAAATTTCCAATCCTTTTTAGATTTTTGGGGCAGATATTTGCAAACGAACGGGAACCAGTAAACTTACCCTAATGACACCGCTTTGTTTTGGATGATAACTTTAACTTATTATTTAAGCATTTTTCTAATTTATGAAATAAGTTAAAACTTAAATAAAACATAAAAATTTTTTGTTAGGCACTAAAAAAATTTTTTCCTGAACATTCTTCTCTCAATCAAAAATAGCAAGGATTTTAAGTAGTAATTTTTTGATACCTAGCTCATCTAGTATTTTATTAATTATAAATTTCTATAAGAAGCAAGAATTTGGTAAATTTAAAAAAGTTTAATTTTAGCAAAATAACATCCATATTTCAAATATTATTTCATTAAAATATTTTTAAAAAATTTTTAGCAAAAATATAAATTGTTCAGTGAATCTTAATTACCTATAATTTTGTATATTAAATCAACAACTATGTTTATTCAACTGTGCTTAATTCGATTAGGTAGTAAATTGCTTAAAACGCAATGGTGGTCATTTGTGGTGAAAAAAAATAAAATTCGCGATTTTTATCTAAAAATTGAGTCATTTGAGTCTTTTTTCTATTAATTAATTTTGTAGATTAAGGGCAAGATGAGGGGAGTTCAGAGCTAGAATAAGGAAATCTATTAAATCTAGTGAAGGATTAAAAATTAAACATTGACAACAAATTAGTGTCCCTAGCTATATCCTTTTAGATTGAAGTATTATTAACAGATTTAAAATTGGGGTAATATGTATTTTAATTTAGTAAGAGATAATCACTGTAAAATTTCTATTATAATGCCACCTTGTAGTAAGGTTGTCGGATCAGGATATCCTGATTCGAAAAAAGATCGGATATTCGGAAAATTCCGGTTCGGATACCGAATCCGGCTATCAGAAGATTTTCAACTGTCCGACAACCTTAGTCCCTAGATGAGCTATATCCTTGGATCTGATGTAATGTTGCCCGGATAGAACAGTCTATAATTTTTTTAATATTCAAAAAATATTTATGAGAATATTATCCGCTTTATTAACTACATTTTTCGTTCCTCACTTTAAATCTACCCCATTTCTCCAAATTTCTCTCATTCATAATTCACGTTTTTTCAACCACAATAATTTTATGCACCTATTAATGTCGCGCATTGTTTTTATTTTTTCACACTTCATTGTTCGGTTAATTCACTAATTTTCTAATATTTTTTCAATGTCAGATAAATTATAAATATTTCTTATTTATTTTTTATTTAGTTTTTCGAACACATATGACAAAGGAATGGTCGGATTGAGAAAAATCTTGTCGAGTTTCGAGTAATTTCAGTTATAAAATTATAATTAAGCCTAGATTTGTGGGAAAAAGTCAGAATTTCTAGTAATCTTTTCCAGCCCCCTTCAAAAAAACTTTCCGTCGAATACCGGAGCATACTTAACAAACGTACATACTAAAAATCCAATTTTAGAGATATACTAATTTCAAAATTACACTAAACGAGTGTGAGCCTTCCCTTACTTTTTAGTATTATTTTTGCTATTTTCCGAAAAGTTGTTTTTCTATTTATTTTAAAAATTTTCAATTCTCCATCAAATAATCACCAAAAATTTTCTACGCCTTTCTATATGTACTAGTTATTAGCTTTAGACTCAACTAAACTCAAAAATTTCACCATTCCAGCTGGTCAATTCTCTTTGTTTTTTACTATTTATTTCCTCGCCTATTTTGTTATCGCAATTGTCACTTTAAATTATTTTATCAAATTTTACCAATTTAGAACCAAAATATCACCTATACAATTATATAATTTTCTTGTTAAAAAATTCGGAAATATTTTCTTTTCTCTTCAATCTCTCCAGCGATTTCCAAATTATTTTTCTTTTTAGAGATGGTTATTTCCCTCCTATTTTTTCTCAAAATGAGAGTTGATCTTTTTAACTCGATCTTTTAGGTTATTCCCTTCCTTAACCTTAACTACCCTCAATTTGTTTTGGTGCCAAAAAGTCGCCGTCCTTTTAAAGAGTAAAAAACAATAAAGTCAACTAAAAAACTACCTATACTTCGCTCTATTTAATTCAACAACAAAAATAAATAAAATTTTGGAATGCCTCAGAAAATTGTTAAAATTAACAACAAAAGGGTTACTCCCCCTAAATAATGAAATTAAATTTAATTAATTATTTGTATATTTTATTTATTTTTTGTGATTTTTGTGGACAAAATAATGGAGAGAAAATGAGGAGAAGAAAATTAAGAGAACACAAAGTCCCTTGCCTAGTAAATATGTGCACTAATAGATTTACTCAACTACTTGAAGAACATGGAACTGAGCCGTCCTCAAGTGTTGATTACTGTATTTTGTTGAAGGTAGGGAAGGAAGGACGTTGGGTTGGTATTTTGGGAAGAGTTCCTATTCAAAATTTATGGAAATTCTGTCCTTATCCATTCCGAATTTGCAATCTTATAAATGACACAGATACGTTGCGATTTATGTTTTAATTTTAAAAATTTCATTTAAACATTTAAATAATATTAATAATATTATTTAAATTAATGTGTCATTGAATTAAGGCAAAATCAGAAATAATTTATTCAATAAAATTGCGAGATTGCATGTGAAAAATATACTAAATTATAATAAAAATTACGGGATTAGTATTTACTAGAGATTGGATTAATAATAATTAGATAAGTATAAATTAAAATTAGTAATATAAATTAATAATTAGATAAGATTAATTAATAATAAATAAATTACTAGAGATCTCGATTAAAAATCTCGGTTGTTGAGATCGAAAAAAACTTTTCTATCCCAGGGACTATGTAAAATTGAAATCTGATTGTAACTAACACAATATCTCTTCAGGATTATTTAAGTTGTTTAAACGATTCATTCATTACGTGCCTTGCTCAACTTGAATTTCATTCAGCAATAACTGCAGCTAACCAAAATTGGAGAAGATTTAACTGTAAAAAATTTGAAGGAAAAATTCTTAGCGAATCTGAATGCCAATTTTGGGGTGATGAACATTTAGAAAGAAGAAGGCACAAAAGGAAAGGTGACTTGAGAATTTTAATTTTGAAATAAACTTCGCGAATGGAATCCTGACTAATTAATACGAGGAATTAATTTAAATTTTAAGGAAATTAACATACTATCAGATTCAGAATAGCATTAAAGTTTTCCTTCAAAATCACAGAGGATTTTGTAAATTAATGAGAGAACAATTGTAGATTTTACTCAAAAATTGGAATATTTTACAGAATCTTATTAATAGTTTTTTTTAATTTTTACAGACGAATATGATGAATACGAAAATAATTTTTATGACGGAGATAAACCTGATGAACTTGAAGAGATGGAGTATATTAACAGCGGAAATTATGATTATAATAGAAAATGTGCAATTTTTGGACATGTTAGTAAAAATAATTTTTACTTAATATTTTAAGGAATTCTTTCAAAAATCATTGAGAATCCAAATCCAGATTTAATAATCTGATTAGATCCCGAACGCCGACCGAAAAGCCAACCCCGACCCCGAGCCCCGTCATGCCTTCCCCCTACCCTAATTTGAATTAAGCCTTCAAATGATATAAAGGAAATGCTTAATGATTAATAATAATTAAACGAAAAATTATAATTTACACACTAAACATAGAAAATATTTACAAAAACACTTTCTGTATTTACAAGTCCCGAAAATTTCATTTGTTTTCAGTTACATTTAAATCGCTTCCAAACCAATGTGCCTGAAAATTGTGCTATCACTGGAGCTTATCCTTTATTTGACAGTCGGTTTTTACTAGTGCAAGTTACAATAGACGAATTAACAGAAAAGTTTGATGGAAGAAATGGACAGTTTATCTCAAAGGCAACTTTTTATTAGGGTGTAACATAAATAATTAGCCCCCCATGTGGTAAGTGGTTTAAATAATTATTAAAATTCAACTAAATGTTTCCAGACTTCGAATTATATTTTTTTATAATCCTAAGAGAGTTGCCTATTTTCTGGCAAAAAATCAGAATCCTAGGATTAGGTTGTCAGGAGTTAGAGGTAAAATACAAAAACTTGTATTTTTGAAACAAGACAATTTCTTTTTGATTTTTCTCTGCAAAATTGATGATTAAGAATGAAAATTTAAATAGATTCTGATAGAGCAGAATCTGTTGAATACGATGATATAAGAAATTCCCCTGGAAAACAACTGGCTGATTTTTTAGAGGGTCGCATTTGTGAAATAGGGGCTAGCATTATGCTGTTTTAAGATAACCCTCGCGCGAAAATGCCTAGCGAGGCCAGGCGACCAGATTTTTCGATGGACTCGATCTTTATGGGAATAATACAATTTGGGAGTAATAGTTTAGCCAGTTTAAATTAAATTCCAATGATTAACCTGCCGCGACACCACCAAATACATAACAGATCACGCTGTTGGACCAGTCTGATTTAGAGGTCGAAACTGATGGTTATCTGGGATGGGCCGTTCCTTTTTGTTTACAGAATTCATGAAGTCAACCCACTCTTCATTATAGGTTAAGATTTGTATCAAACAAGGAGCTTCATTATGGCGTTTAAGGGGTTGTTTTGCAAAAGTGACTTAGCGATTTTTTTAATTTTGCGGCAATTCATGTGGTATCAATTGACACTTCATAACTTGTTTCCCGCTTTAAGTAAAATTATGGAAATTTTTGTAAGTGAGCAGGTGAGTGCCTGCCCCAATATACACATTTTATTTTTTGGAATGGCTTTGATTCAGGGGATAACGGGATTCTTATCTATCGTTGGTTGGCATCCAAGACGTTATTTGTCTTTCAGCTCCTCTCTACTTTTCTTTTATTTTAAGAGCCAACTTTTTTCTGTGGAATACGAGATAAGATCCTCATACTTCGCTTTACATATTTTGCGCCATGATTCCTTTTCCGAATGTCCAAGTTCAATCTCATCTTTGAGGTGAACACTATTTTCTTAATTTTGCCTTGATCTTTAAAAATTCATAAAAAATTTGTATGTTGAGAAAAAATTTCAATTCTTTCAGAAAATGAAGAAGGCTTCATTAAGAATATATGACTAAAAAATTAAAAAGATTGGATATCTGAACATTGAGAAAATAAAGTTTACAATGTACATGGTTTAAGGGGGGCTAATTATTTATGTTACACCCTAATAAATTCTTCAAAAAAATTTTTTTCTATAATTCGAAAAATTTTATGTGTGAAGGAAAATGTTTAATTTAAGGTTGCTGTAATTGTCAGGCCACGTGAGGGATGTGTACCTTTTCAGCAAATATATTTAGCCGATGCTAGTGACCCAGGCCCAATTACTGGAACTTTTCAAGACGGGACAAACGAAATTAGTGAACACCCTAATAAAAGGTAAAAATTAAAAATAAATGCATTTTTATAACCATTAATAAAGTTTGGTGGTTGTCTGATTTATCTTTTCAAAAATTAAGGGTTGAATCATTTTAAAATGTTAACTTACTACATATTTAAATTATAGAAGGATGTTAATTTAAGAAAATTAAAAATTTAGAAAAAGAATTAAATTTTTTAATTACACCTTATGCGCTGTAAGAATGAAAACTGTGTGCGGCGCGACAATATGAAGCGCACAGCTGTTGGGATTTGAATTAGACTGAATTAGATGAATGTGGAGGATTCTGAGTGGGGATTAGCTGAGCTGAAGTGTTCCGGAATTTGGTCCCTCGATTCTTAAGAATGGTCTAACTCTTTAGTGAGCGACAAACTCGTAGCTTTTGAATAGCGAGCGAATTCAATTAACGCTCTTTTGCTTGCACGCATCTGGATTTTACCATCCTTACTAGACGAGCGGCATCGGCGAATTATTCAGGAATATCAAATAAGCAAGAATAAGCAAAAATATATTTATTCAGGTTCTTAAAGTTGGGCAATTAAAACCTAAATAAATATGTGATAAGAAACAAAAAACTTTAAACAATCTATCATTCCATATACATACAAGTATTATTAATTAGTGTTCAGGTGTCGCGAGGCGGCATTTAGAGACAAAAAATTTTTTATTAGAAAATAGTTTAATTAATACAGTTAAGAACATAATTTACAATTTGTTAAATAAAAATAAAAGTTCTTCGTACGAAAAAAATTTCAAATTCAAAATTTGTCTTACATTTACATATCACAATTTCTTAAGAAATTTAAATTATCCAAATAATTAATATGCGACAAAAATTTCAGATAATCCAAATCATTCAGTTCATTTAATTGTTGAACATTTTCTTTTTTTTGGGGGTTAACACAACCATCCGTTTGTTGATTAACAGATAAATTTCCTTCCTCAATATGGGGAAGGGACTTTTGAGAAAATCCTTGATTGTTCTCTTCGCAAACAATCGGATTTTTTCCTTTATCTACACAATCATTCTGTGAATTTCCTTTATTATTATCTGATTGAATGGTAGCTAAATTTTCCTTTTGTCCTTTTTCATTTTTCTTTTTTAAACGGTATTTCCGCATATATTCTCGCCTTTTTTCCTTATTATTTTCTAAATATTCACGCTTTTTTTCTTTATTATTTTGATCATACTTTCGCTTAATCTCTTTTAACCTTTCTTTATTCTTTTGACTGTAATCTTTCCAATATTTAGCTCTCCTCAATCTTTTTTCATCCTCATTCAGTCCTTTTAAGTCCTTTTTAGTAGGTTTATGATTTAGTTTTATCGCCTTTGTATATTGTTGGCTTTGAGGATTAGTCGATGATTCAGCCTCTTTATTTAATTCCCCATGGAAATCAACTAAATTCTGATCAGTTTCTTCAATTATCTTTTGATCTTTATTATTTTTCACAGAATTAATTAAACCCCATAATATCGTGAATATTAAAAGGATTAAGAGATTAATAAGATTCATCTAAACTAAATTAAAAATCTACAGAGTACGCTAAATTACGAAGAAAGGTGCGAAGTGTCCGACCTAAAAACGGTCGAGACCGGGCTCATTCTATAGAGAAGGGCACATTCTCGATAGAGAATGAGCCCGGTCTCGACCGTTTATAGGTCGGACACCTCGCAACCTTTCCTCGTAAGAGTTTTTCCTTCAGACTTTCGTCAAAGTCAAACTCATTAATTTTAATATTCTGTATATAATAAAATGAAACAGACTATCAAAATTGCTTGTTTATTATACAAGAGTGAAAGTAAATAAAGTGTCGAAATGAATTAATGACAGCAACTAATGAAATTTAAAAAGCGATTGTACTTTTCTTCTCAAAAAACTTTAAAACAAATCGTTGAAAGGAAAGTACATTGACCTTTAATAAATATTTTTGTTTGTCAAATTAAGAAATTTAAAGAGTAAGTCTAAGTAAGATTATACACTGCGTAACAAAAAGATGGCACACCATGTTTTTTTGACATACCGTATATGCTGAAATAATGTCCCTCTCTCAAATAATTACCCCCTTCCTATTAATTACCCCCTTCAGAGAAGGGTTGAAACAATAATTACCCTGGGTAATTATTTTAGCAAATACGGTAACTCAATGGAAAAGGGTCCATTTCGGCTGGAAATTATTTTGTAAATAGTTTTCATGACTAGGATACAGATACACTAAACCGCGCGAAAAAATTTTTTTCCTGAATTTTTTATGAAATAATAACCAGTGCTGGGTATTTGCCATTTGTTGGCTCCGGCTCCGGGCTCCGGGGTTTCAAAATCTTGGCTCCAGCCAAGAAACCAAGAAAAGTCTTGGGACCAAGAGTCTCGGACAGCTCTACTGACTAGGATTTAAAAAATACCTATAATTATTAAATTGTTAATAAACTACAATCGCATTTAGTAAAATATTTAATTAATCTTAAAAATTAAAAGGAGTGTAAAGATACTCGTTGCTGAAGAAGGAATTCGTGCAGATTTAATACTTTATCACTTGGATACAACTGTAAGAATAAGAAAATTTGGCAATAAATTTCTTAGTGTTTTTATCGAAGCTTCTACAAAATTATTAGAAAATGTAAGAGAGGAAAAATTATTTCCAAAAATTAATTTTAAGCAAAACGATCATCATCAAATTTGCATTCATGGATGTAGACAACGAAATGAATTTAAAGGGGACACTAAAATTGACCAACCTTGTATCAGGGAGAGTAGTGAAATTGAAGGTAATTAAAAATGATCTATTATGAAAAAATTTGTACCTAATTAAGTTATTTAGACTTATTTGTTATCTATATTCTAATTTAAACATCGAGTAAATTATGTATTCAAATGATAAATAACCAAGATTTATGATGTCAAGGATTAGAAGGGGGTGAAAAGAAAATATCATATAAGGCTTGTATATCCTCAATTTTCATTAATTTTATTCCGATCCATCATCGGTTTGGAGTGGCACAGTCGGGCGTGCTTCGGTCTGGGCACTTTCCATGATGGTTCTATTCCATCTCATATCCAATGAATTTTTCCACAGCATAAAACGTATTTAATACTTGATATATATAATACCTTATAAATAATTTAAGTGTTAATTATTTTTCGTCTTTTATTTAAGCGTAATAAGCAAGACTATTAAATTAAAATTAAGAACGTTGTCTCCAACACTTTTCATCATTAAACAAAGAATGGATAAATCTATGTATTAGAGAAACATCAATTCCATCATTGGGAATTGAACAACTAGAAAGATTTAATTCATTACAGAAAACAGTATTTGATCTATTTGGGTCTACAAAAAATAATTCTGAGAAAATAGAATCATCATTAATACCTTCAAAAAATAATTTTGAAGGATTTAATGAAGGAAAAGAAATTTTAAATAATTTATTTTTATTAAATTGTTCAAACAAACAAAATATTTCTTCATATTTGGCAACAGAAAAGTTAGCTGTCTCATCTTTTATTAAAATAACC